TAGAGCTTCCAGTGACTAGAGTCAAATACAGAAAAATGAAAATAATAATAAAAATAGAGTAAACCAAGCCAGACTCTGGGAGACACTCCAGGTGCATAACGTCACTCTTCAGATGAGACAGTGGGTTGCACATTCTACTAATGACACAGCCGACACCAAGAAAGTCAAATTCTCTTGAAGACTGTTTAGACAAGCAACCAAGTCCAGGGCATCTGGAAACCAGAATCTCTCTCTGATCTGAACGCCTCCAGCAACTTCCTTATCCAGTTACCAGTTTGCTCACTTATCAACTGGTGACTGAGATGTCTATCTCACAATGCTACTGCTTGAGAGCAAAGGGACAAAAGTGCAGCTACAGCAGGACATGGAGACTCTATACACATTCTTCCACCTTCCTCATATCTCCTTCCCTCTCTATCACTTCCTCCAACTCAAAGTTGCAGTAAGGACCCAGAGGAAAGTGTTTGGTAACCTTGTACATCATGAGCTCTCAGCAAAGGACTAGCCCTTGAAAGGAAATTTGGGGGAGAGAGGCCAAAAGCCCCCTCCCAGGAGCCAATGGGGTTGCTCAGATGTGTTCAGGGAAGGACAGAGGAGGGAGAGAGAAAAACTTCAGCTTTACTGAGATTAGCAAAGATCGTCAAAATGATCAGACTGTGCTAAGGTCATCTGGGGAAAGTTCTTGCACACAGTCATAAAGAATCTCCCAACATACTTATTTTTTTAATATTTTAATTAAAAAATTTTTATGTGTATAAGTGCATATCCTACATGTATATAAGTGTACCCATGTTGTGCAATGCCTGCAGAGGTTAGGAGAGGGTGTCAGAGTCCCTGGAACTGGAGTTACGGATGGTTGTTAGGTGCCATGTAGGTGCTGGGATTTGAACCCGGGTCTTCTGCAAGAGCAGCCAGTCCTCTTAACCACTGAACCATCTCTCCAGCGCCTCAACATACTTATTAATTACAAAATAGAATCATGAGTCACCATGAAAATTTGGTGGATTTCCTTAAAATCAAAGAGAACAGCAGCCAGAATTGGATCAACTACAATGTGCCTCACAGAGGGACAAGAACATAATACCACTTAAGTGCTTAGGCGTTGCACACAAAGGCACAGGCTAGCCACACTGTGGAATGCTTTAGGAAAATCCAAGCAGTGGGGCATTCTACAAAAATGATGGGCCCATGTTTTATAGAATACGGATATACGAAGATGAAGATAAAATACAGGGATTTTTCCAGATTAAGCGAGGCTAAAGGTGTGTTAAGTGCAAACATGTGATCCTAGGTTATGGAAAATTACAGCGAAAGGGGTGGGGGGATAGGGGTTTAGGAGTGGGTGGGCAGTGTCTCTATATTAGACAGCTGTATGAACCTAAATGAGATCTTTGTACTGTGTAGAAAATGGTTCTGCATTGAGAAATACTCTTAGGTATTTAGGAGCACTGAGTCATCGAACGTGCAATTACACTCAAGTGGCTCCACAGCAACAATGTGTGTGTATACAGACACAAGTGATACAGCAAGAGAAATACTCTTAGGTATTTAGGAGCACTGAGTCATCGAACGTGCAATTACACTCAAGTGGCTCCACAGCAACAATGTGTGTGTACACAGACACAAGTGATACAGCAAAAGCAGATTTAACTGGTGAATCTACTAGGCGAACAGTATACTGTGTCCAGTGAACCACTCCTGCTCTGTAAATGTGGCAAGGTAAATAAATACTAAGAAATAAATGCAGGGGCTGAAGAGATGGCTCAGTGGTTAAGAGCACTTACTGCTCTTCCAGAGGACTAGGTTTCAGTTCCCAGCACCCATATGGTGGTTAACATCTGTCCTTAACTCCAGTTCCAGGGGATCTAACACCGTCTTCTGGCCTCTGCAGGCATTGCACACATATAGTGCACCTCCATACATGCAGACAAAACACTCATACACATAACATTTTTTTTTTTAATTTAAAAATCTTAAAAAGTCAGGTGTGGTTGGCACATGCCTTTAATCCTAGCACTTGGGAGGCAGAGGCAGGTGAATCTCTGTGAGTTCAAGGCCAGCCTGGTCTACATAGTGAGCTCCAGGACAGCTAGGGCTACAGAAACCCTTTCTCAAAAAGACCAAAAATAATAAATAAATAAATAAATAAATAAATAAATAAATAAATAAATGTCTTTTAAAAAGAAATAAATACAAATATCTCAGGACTGAGGGAATATGGCAGCAATTTTTTTAAAGTACTTTTTTTGCATGATGTAGTATCATAAGTTTATTTGTGTACAGAGAGAGAGAAAGCACACAGGGAAAAGATTCCTCTAAGAAGCCTTCAAGCTGTGGCAACAAACACTACATATGTCAGATAAGACAGCCAGTTGGCAGTATTTGTGAAGAATTCATTGCAATATGATTTGTAGAATTAGAAATACCACCAATGCTGGAATAATCAGATAAAAGCACTTGTATTAGACTATTAGACATAGACCTACCCATCTCAAAAGATGTTCATATATTTTTCATTTAATCTCAAAAAACTGTGTTTTTAACTGTATCAAATAACCCTGACATTATTTGCCACATGACTGTCTATAGCAATTACTTTATTAGACTCTGAATGTTGGGTTTTTCATGAACTATAATTCTGTTCACTTCATCTTTTCATATGACAATTCATATCACAATGACATACTATCACTATTTTAGCAAATTGTTTTACCTGACCTGAACTAACTTATGACTCTCACCAGCTATAATGCCACCAGCTAGTATATTTTAAAAAAATTCTTGGGATGATTTAGGAAAATAAAAACTAAAAAGAGAGCTGGCAAAGAGTGGAGTATGACTTTAAATATCTCCTGGGTTTTAAGACTGTTCAAGTAGAAAATCAGTTTCCAGATGGACAAAAGCAGCACATGCAAAGGAAAATGCATAGTCAGTGTGATAATGCCAGTGCAATGGGTTGTTTTTCCAGTGTAATTACAAATAGGTTTTAGTTTTCACACTGAGAAATAAAAGGACCAAACAAGTTAATTTGGAGTCCTTTCTAGTCTAAAATCTACAGCATAATTCATTCAGATCTATCTTTTTTCTATTCTGATGCCTTTCATTTTTTTTATATGTGCATAGTCAAATAACAATTTTTAAGCTTACTACTAATGCTAGTCAGGAATGAGTGAGATGTGATAAATACTGCAATCAAGTAGTGACTAATTTTTTTGTTCATAATATCCCAAGATAAACCATAATACACTTGAAGAAAGAGAGAGTAGCACAGTGGAAAATAAAATAAAAATCTTAAAAAAAGAAATAAATACAAATATCTCAGGACGGAGAGACTATGGCAGCATACTTTAAAAAGTAGTTTTATAGTCCCTAAAATAGTTCAAAATACACTAACGTATATGTATTCCTAGTATATAACATACAGAAATGGAAATTCATCCACACAAAAACTTGCACCTGATTGTTCTTAACAGCACTGTTCATAACAGCCAAAAGAGACAAACAATACCAGCCCCATCAGTGGGAGGGTGGAAAAACACATGTGGTATATCCATGCAACAGAGCACTGTCAGCTGTAAAAAAGAATGAAATTCTGCTTCACGCTACAACCTAGATAAACCTTAAAAAAACATTGTGCAAAGTAAAATAAGCCAAATGACAAATACCGTATGTTCATTTACATAAGATGTTTGAATGAGTCAAATATACAGAGACAGAAACCAGAAGGTTGACGTGAGGGGAAAGTGGGAGGCTGATGGGTCTAATGTTTGTTGTGGGGTGATGAAAATATTTTTCAACTAGGTGGGGGTGGTTGTGCAGCACATGAATGCTGTCTGCCACTGAATTATCTGGTTCACAGCATTCATTTTATGATATGATAATGTCGTGCTCATTTTTTGAAGGAGGAGCAAAGTAAGGACAGTACTGTGACGTGAGTGACAACGGGAAGCGACCATAGCTATAGCGAGGACTTGGGAATAAACACAAAATCCTCCTACTCACCATCAGCCTGTTCCCAAGGAATAAGAACTTAGTGCAACTGTGATTTACTTGAACTATTCAGATTTGGTGAGTGCAGACTTACAGACTTAACTGAGGCTGGGTCGGTACTTGCCATATTAGAGACTTTGGTTATTAGGGTTTCCCTAGAACAAAGCACGCAAAGCTGAGACCACCTGGATTTTCCAGCCCCTCCTTCTGTCTCCCAGGTGTCTACTGTCATACTCCATGGCTGCTGTAGACTTTGAATCCTCCTTTCTGTCAGCCCCAGCTGTGACATTTCCAGCTGCCAGGGCCTGCTACCTGGAAATCACTTTTGCCATCACACAAAGCCGGTGCAGAGCGGCAGTCAGACATATGTGGCCGCCCATGCTACCTGTGCCAGGAAAAAAATGCTTTTTTTCTTTTTTTAAACTAAAACCAAAAGGGAAATGTGATGATTAAAGACTTTTTAAAAACTCTTGTCACAAAAGAAAATTACATTTACTATTAAACTTTAGAAAAGTGAGGTGACCCATGAGAATGCCCAAAGGCAAGCTCTGACAGGTGTACTTCTATCCAGTCTGTGAAGATGCTACTCAGCTCTAAGGAAGGATCTGTTTAATGAAGTGACTTTGGGCACCAGTTCTTGGTGGCCCTCAAATTGCAATAAATGTGAGGTTTCCTATTAAGCTAGTGGCTCCTAAGCTTAAGTCTAGCTTTCCCTGAGATGAGACTTCAGAAGAACATGTAAGCATGAGGATGAGTAAATGACGAAAGAGAGTATCAGAGCATCAGGACACACACAGCACTCCCTGCAGAGGTTAGAGAATCACCCAGTCACAAGGAAAGGCATCATCAAAGCAAACAGATTCTGCAGGCCAGCTTCCAGCTCCAGATGGTCAGAGGAAAGTAAATGAACGATACTTCTGACACAATCCAGTGTCTGGCTCAGAGGCTGATACAGGCTTGAGCCCTACTTCACCAGCCTCTCCAGAGTGGGATACCGACCACACACTCACCCATCCAGACTTCCCCAAATTGTCCTGCGCCGAGCTTTTTCACCAACTTAATGGACTCTCGGGGGATCTCCCAGGCATCTTTATCCCATGGCTTCTGAGGTTTGGGGCTAATGCATGCCTTCTCCAATCTTCTGCATAGGCCATCAGACTGTTCTAATGTAAAAGGGAAAACAGCCATTAAAAAATGCACTCAGGGTCAGTGAGATGGCTCATGAGGTAAAGGCACTTGCTGCCAAACCTAAAGACCTGAGTTTGATCCACGGAACCCCCGTGATCAAAGGAGAGATCTGATTCCCACCATTTGTCCTCTGACTTCCACACATGTACACACTCACACCCACATGTGAGTGTACACACACATAAAATAAATTTTTAAAAAGAAAAATATGCAATACAGTATATAGCCATGACAGATGGGTTCCAGGATCCCCTTAAACACAAAATTCTAGGTATTCGAGTCCCATTTATAAGATAACGAGATACTGCATGTGCATACCTGCTTATATCCCATAAGGTGTCCTTAGATCACTTATGTTACTGAATACAATGTAAACAGTTGTTATGCAGTATTATTTAGGGGATGCTGACAAGACCTCAGTGCAGATGCATTTTAAAGTATTGCCATTGGGCGCCAGGTGTGGTGGCACAGGCTTTTAATCCCAGTATTTGGGAGGCAGAGGCAGGTGAAGCTCTGTGAGATCAAGACTAACCTCGTCTCACAGCAAATTCCAAGCCAGCTGGGGCTACAGGGAGACCCTATCTCAAAAACAACAACCCCCTCAAAAAAAATTTTGGTTTTCTGAATTGTCCAGTGTAGAATCTACAGACAGAAGGAACAGTAAATCCTTCATATTTTAGTAGTATTTATAGGGAAAAACTTGAATAAGCTATTAGTCTTATAATGTCCAACCTAACACAGTCTAAAATGCTGAATGACATTTTGCAGAATCATGACTTTCAAAATTATTAAAAGACAATGTGAAATATTGGATTTTATTCATTAGCACTGCCAGCAACAAAGTCAACAGATAAAGGCTGACAGGTTGTCACACTTAAAAGAATGCGTTCAGATTCCTGGGTCAACTTAAGCTCCACAGGGCACAAAGGTAGTGATGTAATCTTGTTACCCCCAGAGCTCCAGCCTGAGATAGGGCCAGAGCACTGCAAGCCCCCAGCACCTCAGCCATATGCAGAGATGAATGGGAATGACATGGAGGGAGGATTCCACGGGACTTGGGCCCTTGCTCGTTCCATACTGCCCTTCGCTCTCTACATTTGGGGGCCTGAGATAGCCTTCCATGTGCGTTCTCATAGAGCAGGTGGTGGAAGACAGTAGCAGCAGTCCCCACATCCGATGTCAGTCACAGTAAGTACACAAAAGGTCATGGAGCTGGCTTTATGAGGAAAGTAGCACTGGACATAAGGGACATTGATTTGCCACTGTTAAATATGTCCCCCACATCCGATGTCAGTCACAGCAAGTACACAAAAGGTCATGGAGCTGGCTTTACAAGGAAAGTAGCACTGGACATAAGGGACATTGATTTGCCACTGTTAAATATGTCCATGGCTTTATTTCTGTATACTCTTATTAGGAATGCATATGACTTTTGCATACATTTGTAAACAAAGGCACAGATCTGCACATCTGCATTCTTATTTCGAATATTTTGGCACATTATAAAAATATGCATTGTGCAAAAACAACATGTATATTCTTCTGAATGGAACACTGAATGTCAAACAGCATGCACTGGGCAGGAAGGACTGGGAAATTTACTTACAACAGCAACTCTGTCTTTAAATGTATCAACAATACCCCCCGATCGCCCCCATCCCCAGTTTACAGTTGATTTTTCTACTTGACGACAGTATGACAACACATATAATCATTGTGAGTCAATAGCACATGGAAGTTGTCAAACTGGCAGACTTTGCCCAACTGAGGGTAATTCAAGTATTCCGAGCACATTTAAGGTAGGCTACACTAAGCTGTGGTGTTTGGAAGACTAGGTGAATTATATGCATTTTCAACTTAGAATATTTTCAATTCACAATAGGTTTATTAGAACAAGCTCATCGTAAGTCAAGAGGTATCCATATATTTAGTCATAGTTTAATTTAGAATCTGTTACAGAATATAACCCATCAATATTACCTGAAAGAAAAGTTTTAATACAAAGGTTGTATCTGCCACCTTATACTAGACATAGTAAATGTGATCTGCTTCATCCAACCTCCATTTTTACTTACTCTGGTAATGCTTAATCATGTCACTGATACAGGGAAAGGTGATCCGAGGAGAGATGTAATAACCACCATTGTCCAGACTTCTAATTTTGTAGTGCTTAATAACATCGCCATGCACAGGGTCGTAATCTCTGACAGACAGAGAGAAGCTTCCTGTAAGAAAAAGTGTAAGAAAAGGGTATGTTTATGTGTTGTTAATAAGGTCTGCATTATATAACACTGTGGCACACATTTTACTGTAAAACGTATAGATATAAACTAAATATGCTTATGATGCATCATTTTAAAAGTCCTATAAAAATCTGACTTGATGCATGTGCACACACATAATAATAATAAAATTTAAAAACTAAAATAATAACTCTCACTACCAAATCCCACAACATTTTTTTGCTCTGTAAGTTCTAGAATAGTTTTTAAATGATTTCCTGGGGCTAGAGACGTAGACATAGCTCAGTGGTAAGAATGCTTGCTTAGCATGTATAAAACCCTGGTTCCATCTCCAGAACTGGATAAACCAAACAAACAAAAGATTTGCTAAGTCCCTAACTAGCCTCTGTAAGAGGTCTTAAACCACCCCTACCTTTTAATGTTTCACTTTCTCTAATAAGAAAAGCCCCTGCGCTGTTCCCAGGTGCTAGAAGCTGTCGTTCTGCGTCTTTCCTGGTTATGTCCTTGAAGAACCACCTGTGGAGACATTTAGACATTTCCCAGGTATTAGAGGAGGAACAAGGTGGTTCATACACAAGCAATCCAATGCAGTGAACAGAACCGTGAAGGAGCAATGCAACAGGACTCACTCTTCCGTTTCTAAGGTGTTGACCTTGGCCACGTAGTTACTGGGAATGAAGCCTTCTCTCTTTGTTGAAAGGGACTTAGCTTTCCACCATTCCCCATGCCTGGAATAGAAATACACATTAAAAAGTGACTCAGAACTACAATGGTGATCACCCTACAGTGTCTGTCTGGCAGAGTGTGGGCAACTGGGAATATTCCTAGAATCCCAGAATCCAGTGAGAAAATTTATTCTTCCTGATATAAAAGTCTATTTAGCAACAGAAGAAAAGAAAAGCATCCTTACAAGTTCAACATGACTCTCACTGTGTTCGGTGCTACTTGCACACAAGATGGTTACAGTGGATCACCTTAAAGGAGCAGACAGTTCTCATTTCCTCCTCAGGACAGAGAAGAAGGTTTAAGAATTCTTGTAGAAATGGAAGAATATCTTAGACTTCACGTCTTTCTTTGTAAAGAGATCTAGTTTCAGGCCACGTATAGCCTTTAATCCCAGCACTCAGGAGGCAGAGGTAGGCAAGCTCTCTGAGATTGAAGCCAGCCTGGTCTACATAGTGAGTTCTAGGCCTGATGGGACTACAGGGAGACCCTGTCTCAGAAGATCTAGCTTCTATAGAGATGGATGGTATGAGTAAAAAAAAAAAAATAGTTCCAGGTAGGTAGCTAAGCCTCATCACCGTGCTACAGGGCTAACCCAGAGGGAGGGGTGAAGGCACGTACGTAGGGCCAGGGTCAGGCCCAGAAGGAGCAGGTGAGCTGGTGAAGGAGGAATGGAATGGATTGCTGTGAGCTTCACTGTCTCTTCCCAAACACCCTATAGAGACCAGATCCTTTCCTGTGAGACATGAGGAGGGCTAACCCTAACAGCTAACGCTAAGTCGCTGCCTACTGTACTTCTGTGAACTGTTTATCCATTCAGCCAGTAGTGGGTTCATCCTCAAATCCAACCATCTGCAGACTGAAAGTAGTTTTGAAAATCTGTATCTAAGTTTTCTTCTTATTCTCTAAACGATACAACATAAGACATTTACATAGCATTCACATTGTGTTAGATATTATGTCATGTAGAGATGATTTTAAGTATGCAGATGGATGGGGGAGGAACTCGCAAGGCCCCACCCCTAACTGAAGGGCTACTGGAAGCAGAGAGCTGTGGGGAGATTAAGAGTCATTCTTCTTTGGAGGTGTGGGCACTGGAAAATCGCCCATGCCTCAGTGGATGTCCTCACACAGGTGCACACATGGGCAGCAGTAATTGGACTCGATGGGTTATTTAAAAGAAGAGGAGGACATGAAGTTGGGAGGGACGCTGGAAGGGGAGTGTGATGTGATCATATTTTATTGTATATATGTATGAAATTCTCAAAGAATACATTTTTAAAAATTAAGTATGGCATGGTGGTGGGCACCTTTAGTCCCAGGACGGGGGAGGCAGAGGCAAGAGGATCTCTGTTAGATCAAGACCAGCCTGGTCTATGTAGCATGTTCCAGGCCAGCTGGAGCGCCTGTCTCAAAAACACCAAAAAATTAATAATCAAGTATATTATATATAAGACGGGAGGGTATTGTTGCTATATTTAAATACTATGCATTTACACAAGGGACTTAAGCATCCATGGATTTTAGTATCTACCAGTGGTCCTGGAATCCATTCCCCAGCAAGACTTAAGAACTAAACTGTGTGCACACATGCATGCATGCACGCATGCACACACACACACATACACACATACACACACACACACACACACACACACTCTGTGCACACATGCATGCATGCACGCACGCACGCACACACACACACACCACACACATACACACATACACACACACACACACACACACAAACCATGCTCACAACAATCCTGTGATTTCGATGCTGTCATTCCTATTTCATAAGTAAAGATACCCAGGAACAGACTTTGAATGGTTTTTAAGGTCACACAACTATCAAGAGGAAAGGTCAACTTGTGTTCAGACACAAATTCATGCTGAAGGGCTTAAGCAGTTACTTTATCCTTAATAAGGGAGTCCCCTTCTCTGCCCCCTATGGCAGGTCAGGGTGCTACTTCATGCAAACTCAGAAGGAAAAGGAAGTTAGAATTAACTGTTTAAAGTTCCTTAATCTTCCTTCTCATGACCCTGAAATTCCTGTGGTCTGACTAAGGTCATGCGTGTGTGAGTCAGCATGCAGGGGTCAAGGAAACAAAAATGCCTGAGCAGTTTCAGGGAAGTACTGAAGTAGGGAAGTAGGACCATGGTCGTGGTACCACATCCTAGCAAACCCTTGGAGATCACACCAAGTGCTCCAGGAGCCCAGTCCTAAACTGAGCAATATAATAAGTAAGAATGGCCTTTTTCTTTTACATTTTGTTGTACTGTGTGTGTTCATGTATGTGCAGGTGTGCATTTATGTATGTACACATGTGTGTGAAGGCCAGAAAACAACCTCATCTGTCATTCCTCAGATGCCGTCTGTCTTGTTTTGATGAGACAGAGTCTCTCACTGGCCTGGAACTTGCCAAGTAGGCACACAGGCTGGCCAGCAGGCCCCAGGAATCCACCTCTTTCCACTTCCCCAGTACTGTGCCACCACACGTGAGTGCCACCGCACTTAGCTTTTTTTTCATGTGGATTCTGGGGCTCTAATTCAGGTCCTCCCATGTGAAAAGCAAGCACTTTACTGAACTTCCCAGCTCCCAAATGCCCATTCGAAATAGAGTATAGATGTCAACAAAACCCAACTTCTTAAGATAGCACACTGCTTAAGAAGAAAACCAGTATTTGTCCTTGCAGGGAAAACTTGCAGAGGATGCTCATAGCCAGACTTGATAGGGAAGTTGCCTTTTCTCTGTTCCTTCCATTGCCCAAGCCATCTGGCAGCAGAAGGCCTTGGGGGGTGGTGTGCACAAGAAGGGGCTCTGGGTGTTTCAGTCACCCTGGAAGCAAAGCAAGAGAGCAGTGTGCAAGAGCTAGGGCCTAAGCTGCTGCCACCGGTGCCTGGGCACACTTACTCCTCCAGGACTCTCATCTTTTCTCCTTTCTTGAAGGACAGATCATCTGGGTGGATGCCATCATAGGGATACAAGGCCACCACGATGTCTCCTTGCTCCTCTGGATCTAAAAAATGAAACACACGAACAAAGCCCTTTCAGATCCACCAACAGGGCACAAAGGAAGAGAGGAAGCAGTAGAGGGAAGGCCCATGCGTGAGACTGTGTGCTTCCCACCCAAACAACAAGTGTGAAATCATTTCTTGGCCTGTTGGCTAAGATTAAGTGTAGCATATGCTGTACATACTACGTACAGTACCTGCTACTGCAAACCAGGTTGCTATAGCAACCTGTTATAATTAAGTGTAATGTTTATGAAAGGGTATATGTGAGCACAGCAGCACTATCGGGCCCATAAGACAGAAGCAACACAAGTGTGCCTGGGTGGAAACTCTACCGAAATGGGGTCTATATGTGCAACAGAATAATATTGTCTTAAAAAGAATTGAAGTTTTGATACATGCTACATTATAGATAAGCCTTGGGGACATTAAATAAGCCAGGCGCAAAAGGATAAAAACTGTGTGTTTCCAGTCACATTTGGCACCTAGAATAATCAAATCCACAGGGATAGACAGAACAGTGGTGACTGCCCAAAGCAGAAGGGAGTGGAGAATGACTAATTTGTGTTTAATGAGGACAGAGCTCTGTTTGAGATAATGAAAACCTTGGATGGATGGTGTGGACCTTGCACAACAATGTGTACTTCCTACCTCTAATTCTGCACTTAAAATATGGTTGAAATTGTGATAAATTGGGCTGGAGAGATGGCTCAGCGGTTAAGAGCACTGACTGCTCTTGCAGAAGATGCGGGTTCGATTCCCAGCATCCACATGGTGGCTACGAACCATCCTTAACTCCAGTTCCAGGGGAATCCAAAGCCCTCTTCTGACCTCCACGGCATTGCATGACAGGGTGCACTCACATACATGCAGGCAATACATTCGTATACAACAATAAATAAATGCAAACATCTAGGATAACTAGTTTACAGAGACACTAACACTAAAAAAAAAAAATTTGTTTAAAAAAACATACCTTTCGTTTGAAACCTCTGTCCTGGTAAAAGTTGAGATTCTAGAACCTACAAAAGAGTATTTGTTAGAAAAAAATTCATGTTCAGTGTTTTCTACTCATATATACATTGTCTATAATTATTTTCTAGCAGCAGCAAGTGAGATCTGCAGTTATTAAGAAGGAAAGAAGTCACAAGGGGAGAAAAATCCTATTGTATGTGAGCCCACCAGGGCTCTGAGGCACAAGGCCCTGCCCTCAGTGCTGTCATCTGGAGGGTTTTCTGCCTGTCACAGTCATTTCCAGGCCTCTTCCTGTGTATGCAGTCCTTGGCCTAGGCCATCAGGAAGTGGATAGGGCTCTGTGAGATGGGCCTAGCTGCCCACCCATCATAATTCTTGCTTGTGTTTTTAACAGAACCCTAATATGTGGGGTGTCAGCTTGTGCAGCTCAATGCCTGCTTCCAGACTTCCAGCCACCTCTGTAGCAGAGGGAGGAAGCACTCCATAAGCTTGGTGGTTGTGTGGGGCCTTGGTAAGGTTTGTCTTCTTGCTTATCTCTCTCTGCCTAGAAACAACTAAAGGTTGGAGGCACAGCCACCATGGAAACCAAACAGCATGGCCAGCACAGCCAAACAGAGAAGTGACAGAGGCCTGGTGACTATAGAGTTGTCACCAGCCCATCTCTGTTTCCTGGATTTAAACATTTGGTCAGGCCTGTCACTAACAGCTAAGCACAAGTCTGAAAGATCCAGGTGGCCTTCAGTGACCTGACTCTGTCTTGGGAACAGCAGGCATCCCCGAGTCATGGCGGACCTGGTGGTGAGAAGGCCTTGTGAGGTAGCATCTAATCCAAACCTTTGCTCACAAGAGCACTGCTAAAGTAGTGTAAGGCTGAGCAGCCTCTTCTGAGGAGGCTTGCCTGGGTCTGAGTTGCAGACCATGTCACAGCTCTGTTTCTCTTTGAGTACTGATTTCATAGAATGGGGCTAAAATGGTTTGTCCTGAAACAAAAATGTATGATGAAAGGAAGCCCATAAAATCTCCAGTTCACCAAGGAAGGAAAAGATCCAAGGATCGGGAAATCCGTGGGCCCATACTAACATTCAAGATTTATTTTTGAGAAGTTTGATATTGATGTTTTAGTCATTTAGATTTGTGTAATTCAGAATTATGATCTATTTTATATGATTTGGAGGAGAAATAATTAGATGAAAAATTAAGTAAATAATTCTGAAAGCAGCAAGTTAATTTTCAAGTATCAGAGGTTAATTACAAACATGCTGTCCTGTCTAGGTTGGTCTTGAAACTTATGTGCTGAATGACTGGGCTAACAGATGCACACCAGTGCACCCTGTACATTTTAATAAAACCAAAATCTAAGCCTGTATCCCTTATACCATCACTCTAGATCTTTCCTTAAGTAGCTCTCCCTAAATGTGGTTGACACTGTATCAATTACACATTACCTCCTTGCAGACTCCCTGGCCATCAAGCCATGGCATGCATTTTGGCACACCTGGCAAGGAAGAGCACTAGTTATGGTCATGGAAGGAGGCCAAACTAACAGGCTCGTGGAGGGCATCTGTGAGCACAGAAGGCAGGAACTAATGTGCTTATGGCGAGCGTGAGGGAACTGAAAGGCTTCAGACATGGTAACTACTTCCGCTTTCCAACATGACTTTTAACCTCTTTTATACTGAGCAAGAGGAGATGGTGTTTTTTTACTAGTTTCCTTTGTTTCCCTAAATAAAGGACATCTTCATTCAGCATTATCAACAAACAACAACAACAACAAAACCCAAATAATCAGCAACAACAAAAAAATCTTGGGTTTTAAAGCATATAAAGTCATTTGATACCAGAAATAAGCAAAACCTTGTTATGAGACTCCTCTACTTTTTATTTTACTTTCTGTTAATCATATTTGAGAATACAGCCCCACATCTATACATACATATGGAATGTGTTTTGAAAATTTATATTGATCTGGGACGGGGGAGATGGCTCCATGGTTAAGAACACTGCCTGCTCTTGCAGAAGACCCAGGTTTGGTTCCCAGCACCCACATGGGGTTAACATCCACCCTTAACTCCAGTTCCAGGGGATCCAACACTCTCTTTTGGCCTCTGTGGGCATACCAGGACATGGGTCACTTACATATATACAGGCAAAATACTCATAGACATAAAGTTAAAAATAAATTATTGATATGTATTTAACATCACCAAATTTCTAAAGTTCTTAATTTGTGTAGCTACATTTTCTATAAGACAACTTAAGAGTACAATACAGTCACTATTCATCTCCACTTCTCGATAACCAACTTTACTTGCCAATCTCAATGATGACCTGTGAGTCTGGTATGTTATAGACAATAGAAAAAGGCTGGGTGAGGTCCTTAAAGAGGGCTGGACAATGAAAAAATATATTTCTAAAATGCCAAGATACTTAAAAAACCAGGTCAGACTAGAGAAAATGGGCAAATTCTTAATAAAGGCATTTGGGCTAACTTAGAACAAGCTGTTTTCAACTAAATGCTAAGAAATTCCATAAAAACAATGGGAGGACAGACAGACATACAATGAGAGACTAATGTGCAAAGTTTATCAGCTCCAAAATAAAGTGGATTTAAAGTTATTCAAGGCTCTGCGCGTTCCCTGTTCCCCTAAAATATGATGCTAGTTCTTTTCCAAATGTACCAGGTAACACATCACTCATAGAAAATTCCTAATGTGAATAGCTGTGTAAGGCTTGGAGACAGAATTAGGTGTGCCTTTTCTTAACCTTGTAATTCACTCTAATAAGACATGACAACCTAAGTATCTGTGCAGTTTTAACTCAGGTGAAGAAAAGGCAAGATAGACTGAAGTGTGATGCCCCAAAGACACATTAGCACATATTTCAGTTTCTGGCTTAAATACAGCATTTCCTTTTCACCTCTAGACCACTGGTCTGATCTCACTACCTACCCTGAGTCACACAAGTCTGGATATGTGTGTGTGTGGCGGTTGGGGTCGGGGGGTGTCTCTGCATCAGTATTATGAAAGATGTTTTCTCCATATATAAGAATGCAACTAAGCCAGGCATGGTGGCTCACACCTTTATTCCCAGCACTTGGGAGGCAGAGGGAGGTGGATCTCTGTGAGTTCAAGGCTACTTTGGTCTATATAGTGAGTTCTAGGCCAGCTGGGGCTATAGGGAGACCCTGTCTCAGAAAAAAAAAAAAAAAAAAAAAAAAAAAAAAAAAAAAAAAAAAGACCAAAGAAAAAGGACAAAGAATGAAACTAAAGGCCTATTTAGCATCCAGTAAGTGACCTGGGTTATCCTCAAAATCTCTACACATTTTTCAAAGGATTACGTTACAAAGCATATCAAAAATTATTTGAGGCCCAAGTAATCAATGTGATTGTTTTTTGCATGCACTATTACAGACTGGGGTTTAAATTGGGCAGCCATGCTTTGATCCTGCTGCGGGAATTCTCCCCTGAGACTATCTACTTACTGGCCTTTGCTGTTTATTGGACGTTGGATCTCTCACATAAATAGTTCGGTCAGTATTACGTACTGGTTGAGTCTTCAAATCTACTCCATCGTCATTCAGATTGTCTTTCCTTTTTGATTTTATACATCCCATATTTCCTGTTGGAACAGAAAAGCAATTGCATTGTTTTATCAGTCAAGAACTGGCATTAAGTCACCCAAATCTCTACATTAAAGAAGAGTAAAAAGAATACACTTATTTGTTGTCATACACTGATTAATGCACTCAAGTGTGGGCATTGTTTGCAAACAGTCTTGCTTGGTCATTCATTTGTTTCTTCCTTTATTCCTGCATTCTAGAATATGCCAGACAGACATAATTCCTACTAGAAATGTGCTTATATTTCTGTAACAAAGGTGTGTGAATTAGCATTATGGTGCAGTATGGAGAGCTGATGACACAGAACACACAAGTCGTAATAAAGGACTTCTAACTCAAGAAAGAAGAGAAGGAGCTGATCCAGGAAGCTTCCTGAAGGAAACTGAGTCTAGGCCAAAATCAGCCAAAGGATTCCAGAAAGGACCTTAGATGCAGCCATAGTGACCTCAGATAACATGGCCTCTTCAAAGAACTAGCACAGAAAGAGTAAAACATTCAGTGAATGAGCAGGGAGGAGAGGCCAGGAGCCACACTGTAGACAGAGGCACATGGTGGGAACAATGCTGACAACTTAATTTGTGTTCCCTAAAGACCAGAGTCCATCTGAAGAGTGCAAGGTGAAGATGAAGGGCTTGAAGCTTCACAGGCCGGTGTGATTAAGACCTAGGGTGCACTAGGTGGGGCTTGGGACCTATGAAGATGGTGGCCTTCCTCAAGATTGGAATGAAAGGAGACTCAGGTATGAGACAAAAGATGCTTGAAGGGTCATTCAGATGACCCGGTCCAGTAGGCTTCCTAGCAAGACAGCGGGGTCTGTAAACCAGAAGAGAGGCAGCACAGCACTGAGGGCAGTGACGTCACCAACAAGCTGTGACTGCAGACAGGGCTTCGGGGTGAGGCTGCAGGGTGAGCACCAGCACAGTAAGGAGCTGTTGTCCAGGTAGACATCACTGCTAAGCATGGAAACACAAGCCTCTTTCCTTCATTCAACTAATTCTGGGATGGGCAGTGTACTCTGGAGACTAAAAAGATTTTAACGATTTGAATCAGGTGACTGAGGTCTTACAGTACAGACTCAGGATTAAATCCAAAAAAAACAATGCCTGTTATGATCTCCCTTCAGAAGGTCCTTCAGGCTAGTTGTTCCCAGAGAGTAGATTCTGTAGACACATTTTAGGAAATTCCAGTGGTGCATGGGGCTCCCCATGTGACCTATGTAGTTCTAGTGAACTGCCACATTGGGGACCAACCTTAGAAGTGTAGAAGAAAGAAGGATGCCTGAGAGTTTGGGGAAGATACTACTGTACAGATAGGAACAGAAGGGAGGATGAGGCACTTTCGTATTCTGTATTATTGCACTTGTACTTCATATTGTAGAAGGCATTTGAATGTACATGTTATTAATAGCTTAGCATGAACACACTGTTCATATTTGTCCTGAGTTAACTGCTCCCTCTCACTAGCCCAGAAGCCCCCGAAGGGGTATAAGATTGATATCAGAAACTAACTTGACTCAGCCTTTCAAGAAGTACCTGACCCCAAATCTCCGCAGACTGAGGGATGAATACAAGGGGCGCAGACATCACAAGTCTCAGAAACTGACCACCTGGAAAAGGGGCAAGACTGAACCCCAGGTGACTGACTGCCTTTGTTTACCCCCCTTTCCCTATATAACCTGGGCAGAAGATAAATTGGAAGAGATTTTTCAGAATGTTAATTAATCCTCTATCTTCTCAGATTGCCAAGTCACTGATTAAATCACAATTTTTTGTTGTTGTTGCTATTTTGTTCTGTTTTGTTTTGTTTTTGAGGCACAATCTCCCTATAGCCCCCACTGGTCTGGAACTTACTATGAAGACCAGGCTGGTCACAGAAATCTGTCTGCCTCTGCCTCCTGAGTGCTCTCTGGCTTCTGAAGTAAAAGCAGAAATGGAGTTCTGGTTACAGTTCTTCCTAGGGGAGGAGCTGTGCTAGGAAACCCCCAGGCTGTCTGGGCTCCATCCACGGCTGCAGCAGCTGGCCCAGCTCTGCACTTGGCCCTGCCCTCCTATCAGCTTCATCAGGCTCTGAGAACTAGGACCTGTTTATCATTTCATTAGCCTGGGTATGAAGTCTCTAAAGGACAGCCACACCTTTTCTGAAACCAGCAAAGCAGCGAGCTGTAGTTCCCAGAATAAAGGGGAAGCAAGTACTTCAGTTGAAAACATCATGTTTTTTTCATAGCCAGTTTCTGAAATGGAGGTGGGTTTTAGAGTTGATCTGTAAATAAACATAAGTTCTTTTTTTTTTTCTCATCATTCTGTGGTCCCACTTATCCCCCAAATTGCTATGTCTAGCTGACTAGTCTTGATAATGAGAAAATAATAGAGTAACAGGAAAGCCCTGGAAGCCAGACCCCAGAGAAAAACAGAGCTCCTCCCCCAGACCCAGTGGGAACTGGGCTTTCCCAAGCGCTCACAGCCCCTCTCTGGTGGGTTTTCTGCACCATTTCCCACACTTAAAACAGCAGTGCTGCTCCAGACAGGAACTCAAGGTCTATTTTCCTTTCCTTTCCCTTCCCTCTTCCTCTGGTTTGTTTATTTTTGTTGTTTGGGTTTTTTGTTTGTTTGTTTGCTTTTTTCACAGGGTCTTACTCTGGAATTCAGGCTAGCCTGGAACTTACTATGTAGCCCAGGCTGGCCTCAAACTTGAAGTGATCCTACCACCTCTGCCTCATGAATGCTGGGATTACAGGTGAGCAGCCATGCCTGGCTCAAAACCTATTTGCTAAGAGGAGGAATAGATGCACAACTCTGATACTAAGCTTGGTGCTGACACCAGGCTCAGGCTCATCTCTGTCTTTCCTAACAAAAGGTACTACAGGAAAAGGGGATCCGGGGGGTGGGCAGTGAAACCCATCTCAGGGTCACAAGAGACAGCCTTCATAGCAGAAGCCTCTAGAACTGTCCTTTCAAAAATTGCAGTTTTGAGCCAGGTCTGGTGGCACACACCTATAATCTCACAGGAAGATAGAGAGTTCCAGGCTAGCCTAGGCTACATAGTGAGAATCTGTCTCACAAATTTAGTTAGTCATAATTTTGCTTTAAAGAATAAAGTCTCTAGTCCTATAAACTTACTACTTTATAGGAAATATAGCAGAGAGAGGATTAAGATCAGACACATCTAGAGTGCACCCTATTCTAAAAATGACTAGTCCAGAACTTCCACAGGGGAAAAAAAGCAGACCCACTCCACACTGAAGGGATTATGGGCTACGGTGTGGCACAGTCATGGCGCATTTACCCAGGAGGTCCAGGGTCTATCCCCAGACTGCAGAGAGAAACAGAGAAACAAAGAGAGAGAAAGACATGTTAGAAATGCAGAATGTGGGGGTATGTGAGGGTTAAAGTCTTTGCAATTTCCAACACTTCAGCCACAGTAAGAGGGACATGCAGAGGGAGGGATAATGTGTCTAAATATATGAAAATTAGTGACTCGAGGGAAAAGACATCTTTTCATCCTTTCTGTAGACTTGAAATTTTCAAAGTAAAAAGTTGGATGGGAAAAAATAAGTTATACAAAATTCAAAATATTTCAAAATGTGGCATGTTGAGTACGTGCGGGGGGCGGGGCAGGAGGTATAATTAGGAAAGATTGCTGCAGAGACTCTTCACGTAGCACGTCAAGGAGTGTGGCTTTCACCTCAGCTCAGAGCCATAGTGAATTCTCTACCTGGAATGACGCCTGGGGAAACTGAGAACTCTATTTTTGAGCGAGAACTTTATAGGCAGCTTGGAAGGCAGGCGACAGGGGTAATCTATCCCTTAGAGGAGGAGGTGATGGCAGTTGTCTGAGGGCAGTGATCCTGAGAAGAGGAAGGATGAATGCGATGAACACAGAATAGCAGGAGGATGGGGGCAGGGTGTCAACCTAGACCAGCATATCCATAGATGGCCATTCATTGCTTTGTGCTTTCCCCTTTTGCTGTCACCACAGATAACTGAGAACCAAATGTATGTTATGTATGAAAGATGAAAAGTGGAAACACCATGGGGTAGCATAGCCTCATGCTCAGAATGCTCTCAAACACAGTGCTCAATTGTGGTTTCTGCAGTTCAGCAAGAAATCTCTGCCATCGGCATCCAAACTCCAGTCAAGTCCTGTGATGCTGTGCGAAGGTACTAGAAAAGTTCCAAACGTAATCTGTTCCTGTCAAAACTGAGTAAGTGGTCCCACATTTCCAAGGGATATGAACACTACAATAATTTGCACCTTTAATAATTTTACTAAAAACTTATAATATGCTGAGCTTCTCATTTAAACTTGAAAGAAACTCATTGTCTAAGGTATTAGCATGCTCACTTTATAGGAGGCTCAGAGAGGTTAAAGACCTGAGAGCTGACCCTCTCCCCCACACCACCTTGGTCTCATGTTGAGTATAAAAGCGAACAGCACAGCCTGTGCTCTTCCCGTTCTGGCATGTGATAGCTATTGGGGAACTCATCCTTTATTAGCAATGCTAAAATAGATTATTTTCATAGGCTTCCTCTTCAAAAGGTATAAAATGTTTTGCCACAAGAGTCAATATTGAGATTAATAAAATGAAAACAGAACACCAGAGCCAATGAAAAGAGGTGAATACAATGCTTAACCATGAGTGACATGTCTAGAACCAATGAACTGTACGCTCACTCTGGGTTGGCCTCAAGAAGAGTGTATGAATCCCCAGGAGAGAGGAAAAGGTACAGCCTCCTGTGGGGACACTGTGTGTCCCCAGCAAGAATTCCAACTTTGTGTTCAGTGGACTTAATTAAGCACTGTGGATGATATTTTTGGCAATGTTTCATCTTGGCATCATCTATCTGTCTTTCCTTTCTTCTTTCTTTCTCTTTCATTTTCTTCTTCCTGGCCAGGGTCTTACTATGTAGTCCAGGCTGACCTCAAACTCAAATTCCTCCTGCCTCAGAGCTTCCCCAGTGTTTAGATTATATGCACATCCTGTGATACTGAGTTCTGTCCC